TATCTAAGTTAACCTAGTGGAGTATAGCAGGATACTCTTCATAAGAATATCCTATGTGAGTGTGAACTGGGCCAGTTCTATGAGATTTGTGTAGGGCTACAATTCTCTAGAGCACTTATGAAAGACCAGGTTGTTCAGGGCCAAAATGAACACAATAGTGAAAACTAAATTGTGTCTGGGGATATACTGTGTGAGTTCTATTGTCTTGGTTTACACAAACGGCTGAACAGTTCTAGACATCATGTTCACTAGTTAGCTAGTAAATCTGATAGTGTCTCACAAGGGAAGGTTCAAAGCCAAAAGCTACCTATCCTTTGCAGAATATTTTCAATTTCTGTACTCTCTGTATTTACATCATGTTGTTGCATTTTCTCTCTGTCAATTTCATTCATGTGGGGGATTGTTGGAAAATTTATAAAGAGGTAGTTGTGAATTGAAATAGACTCCATTTTGAATGAAAGGGTGTAACCTTTCATGGTGTCTTTTTGTTTTAAAGGAAGGGTCAAACCTCCATTTGAATGAAAGGGTGCAAACCTTTCATGGTATCTCTTTATTTTTAAAGAAGGGGTATGCTCCTTCTTCATACCTTTTCTATTCAAATTGAATAGGTGCCAACAAAGCCTATATAAAGGCAGGCCCATTCCAATTTTGATTATTTTCGAAAATTCATTTTCCTTGCCTTCATTTTGCTCTCTTGCATCCTTTATTCTTCATATTATTTTAGGGTAATTTTCAGAGAGTTAGAACACAGGTTTGGTTTGCTGAACAAATTGTTTGGAGTGCTACTACAATTTGTGATGATCATTATATCCTGGGAGATAGACGCCATTCAACCGTAAGCACTGTAGCGGGGCGAATCTGTCTTAAGGACAGAGTGTCACACACTCAACTTGGTCTTTTATTTTTAATTCGGTTTGATAAATAAATTCGGTACGTTATTTATTTATTGGTTTGATTTTGTTTCAATTTATTTTATTTACGCAAAAGATTGTTCCAACAAGTTTGACAGCAACTATGGCTGTTTTAGTAATTACAACTATTCTGAAAAAGAAATTGATAAATCAGATATTTTAGAGTCATCATCCAATTAGGTTAGTTTATGACGCATTTTCTTGGCCAGAACTAGTAGATGTGATGATATTCTCATCACAAATGAGATATTGTGGTTTCTTGCTGGGAAACTTTTGTGGATGTGATGATATTCTCATCACATTTTTTTTCTCAATATTTCCATTTTCTCTTTCTTAATTTCAATTTCCGAGTTAGCTGTAATCATAAAATCTAATTGTTTTAACTGCCACTGTCGAAAATGTATCACAGAACATGACTTCAATAGGAAGAAACTGGGAAATATTTTCGTTCTTGTACTACATTTGTGGTAATAGATTTACTGGAATTCAATGATTTGTATATGCATAGGGTTCACTCTTATGCTCCCCCCCAGACCAAGCAAAATTTATTGTTCTCTTTTACCGTGAATACATAAATAAATAAAATTGTAGCTGCAGACTTGTAGATATTCTTAATTTTCAATCTACCCTTACTTTGCAGATTGGAAAAATTAGGACCTTTAGAGTGGGACAAGGTAGTACATGGACATGAAGCATGGAGACTTATCACTTGTATCTGGTTGCATGCTGGTGTTATTCATCTGCTAGCAAACATGTTGAGCTTGGTATTTAAATGTGAAGTTTCTTATTCCCTAATGCTTTTCAATTGTTAGATTCTTGGTCTCAATTCCCAGCAGAGGGATTCCAATTCCCAACTTAGGGAGATGATGCAAAACCCAGTATTCATTCGTCAATTGACTTCTCCTGAAACAATGTAGGTACATTGCTTGAAAAATCTACCTCTCTCATACGCTCTCTATACGTGTTTTTATCTACATTAGACATGCATGTTATAAATATTGATTTAATGAAAGAAATGAAGGTCTGCATTTAAAAGGCTTTTACTGAGGCTTGCCTCAAGGAGAGGCTAAGGCAAAACGCATCAAGGCTTTGATCTCCCTAAAAAGTTGCACATCACAGTCTGAGGCATGCTCCTTGTATGCCTTTTGCACATTTGAGTACATATGAAGAGCTTGTCTTAGGCTCTTGTTAAACTTAGTCTAATAACAGATAGTTTAAACATAAAATAGTAAAAAAAATAAATATTTTGCAACTATATCCAATAGGAAAAATTAAGTAAATGATGAATCAAGAAAAAACACAAAATTAATGCTCAAGTGAGAAGTTCTATCACTAAACTAAGAATGTCAATTTTACTTTCAATGAAGGCAAACTTCCTTCTCTATAGTAAAATGTTCAACCCCTTGAGATGAAAATTATTTACACATTTAAATTAATTTTTATTTAAATTTTTACTATTTTAAAATATTTAATTTATTTACTAAATATAAAAATTCAAAATTCGAAATGCTTATTTCTCGACACCTTAAGGCTTATGTCTCACCTCATGAGGGGTAAAACACCTCATGTTATGCATTCACCTTCAAAAAATTTGTGCCTCCCCAACAAAATTTGTTTGGTTGCTTACTAGCCTTTTAACATCTTGTTTTGTAGTTTATGAGAATTATTTAGGATTTATATATTTGTTTATTATGTTTCAAGAAAAGCTTAACGGTGGTGGTTAATGTTTCGTTTCTCATTCTTTTTATTTATTTATTTATTTATTGGTGTTTGTTTGTCAAGGACCAGTTAGGTTTTTAGTTTACGTCTACAAATTTTGTCAAAGTCCTAAGTATTTTGGTTAGCTACTTAAAATCAATTTTTCCATTCCTTTTTGTAGTTATAGTTTTCACTAGATCAGTTGGTGGCACATCTATTATCGGTCTCAAGTTCACCCCATGTTTGTTTTGGTTTTCCCTGTTTTTTGAACGTCATTGACTTAAATTGCAGTCACTCTGTGTGGATGCATGGTTTTTTTTTTTTTGTCCAAGAAAAGAAATGAAAATGAATAATGTAAGTATTATGTCATAAAGAAGAAAAAATACTTCATGTAAGAGTAGCAATAATGAAAACAAGATGTACGCAAAAATTTCTCTACAGAACACCGGTAATTACAAACCATGTAATTGTGTCCGGCAAGATGTGCTTTTAATTAACCCATTCAGTCCCACTTATATAGAATGCCATGAGATAAAAGTCCCATTTTGTACTTTTAATAATATTTACACTTGATCTAAATAGTAAGTATATCATTAGATTTATTGTAGACATAAATATTTCTTTCTTTCTTTTTTTGTTTTGTGTGTGTGTATGTGGAGATATGTATGGTATATATGCATTAGCTGGTTACATTTATGGTATGCATACCATAGAAGTTTCCGTCTTTTGTGGAGGTTTGTAGATAAATGGTTACATTTCCTGTTTTTGTGTGGAGATTTGTATGGATCGAAAATGTGAAGTTTCACACTTATTGTGTCACAGTTTTAAGTGTGAACATTCACATTTACAATGAGTAAAATAGTATGCATTTTCACATTTTCATATTTACGACCTTTACTCTTTCAAAAAATTCACATTATTTTATTCATTATAAATGTGAATATTCACTGTTGTAATAATTCACACTATTATAAAAATGTATCTACATATAGATTAATAATCCAAATGAGTAAGTACCTTGGCTATCATGTTTTGGTACTACATTATGTCATATAATGCTAGATGATTGGTTGACATTCAAATTTATGTTAGGACAACCACTCCTTTGCTTGAATAGTGTGAAATGATGCACTATGCATTAAAGTCAGGTGTAAACAAATCTCTCAACACAAAACCAAAAGTCTGACAGCCATGAATGGGTATAGATTATGGCAACTTATTTGACTGAAGTATAGAGGGAGGGGAAACGTGTACATATATATGTGTGGGTGTTTTAGTCATTTGTTAGCATGTTAGGTATCGAACTTTTAAGATTAAAAGAATATAAATAGGATTAAATGATGTACAAGTTCCATATATAAGACTTCAAGTTAAAAACCCCTAAAAAATGGGGAGCATGAATTTTGCATTTTGCATTAGACTACTTTGGATGTAAGAAAAGCATTTCAGTGTAAAGAAAACCTGTAGGTAAGTTTTCACCTTTCTGCTTTTATTTTTTTAGTTTAATCTTTTGATGCAAGACACCATATATTTTTAATATTATCATCTTACTTACTAAAAAAAAAGAAAAGAAGGCTCCATATAATTTTTTAATTAAATTTTATACTATTATCAACTTTTAGGTACCCACAGGAAGCTGTGGGCAGAAAGTTTTTATCATGAGTTTAGTATTGATAATGAAATCCATAATTGAGATTTGGAACAATGTTAATTAATTCATGCAATTTCATGGTGCAAATTAAGTTTGCATCAAACAAATTTTAAACATGAATTTCATGGTGCAATGCAAGTTAAACTGCATTAAACAAGTTAAGTTGCAATTTTCAGCAGAGCATGAATGTACCAGGAAACCCTAGAGACGGAGCTTTCATTGATGAAAATGTTGCAGTCCCCCTTTCTTTTCCCTCCCAAAAAGTGCATATGTATATTCATGACTGCATGCATGCATGAACCATTTTTTTGTATATTCATTTTAATGCTTTCACTTTCTTTCTTTCTTGATTCCCTCTTTCTTAACACCTGTTTTCCCCTGTTTCAGCAACTCATGACTTTACAGCAAACTCTTTTGTCTCAGCTTGGTCGGCAACCATCAACCCTGTAAGTAATTTTCCGCCTAAATTTGTTTGGTAACATAATCTAACTTCAAGCCTAACAATCTTATTATAAACATTTCCTTGTCCATTACACATGCATTATTCATATAGCAGTATATATTTTTTGGCACAATCAATGCGGTCGTGTTACTGCCCAGTGCCCGATATTTGAATATTGTCTTTTATGAATTAATACACCTGCACAATACCTATATAGAATTTTGTTGTTTAGATTTTAATGCCCATTCTTTTCTTGGTTTACTTAAACGAAATTGCACTCTTGCAGGGAAGTAGGCCAAACCGGTAGGGGAACAGGTGCTTATCTCTGGAAGAATTTACTCTTTGGCTTCACTTGTGATACCTCCAATAGACTTAATGCTATTGTTTTGTTGTATATTTTAAATGTTGTACAGTGGAGCTCATCATTTATGATAGCACCCTGTCTTGCCACATCTATATCAAGTTTTAACATTCTTGGTTGCAATCAATGAGAGGGAACTTGTCAATGGTTAGTTCTACAATAGGGAACTCCAAAAGAGTCTTGAGGACTGTTGGTGTGGTAATCTTTTGATGTTACCCCCTGATCCATAAAAATTACTTTCCCAGATAAAGAAAAGGAAAGGAAAATAAAATAAAATAAACAAACTGAAGGAAGAAGACATTATATGAAAAAAATTCTTTCATTTTTTAAAAATTGTTGTATGTTATTTTATCTCACTGTGGGTGTGCTACTTTTCTCCCAATAGTAGGAACACTTGACAACATGGGATTGGAGATGTTGATGAATATGTTTGGGGGTCTTGGGATTGGAAGCCCTGCCGTTCCTGTCAGATCAGATGGTGACTATTATATCCTTTTCCCCTATGCCCTACTGATTATGCTTTGTCATCTACTCACAGTTTATGCCTTGTTCTTTTAGTGCCCCCGGAAGAACTGTATGCCACTCAGCTCTCATAGCTACAAGAAATGGGCTTCTTTGATACCCGAGAGAATATACAGGCACTAATAGCCACTGCAAGGAATGTTCATGCTGCAGTGGAGCGGCTTTTGGGGAACCCCGGTTAGTAGATTGTGATTATTGTTATTATTCTATTCAACATGACATATATCATCAATCGTGGACCGTTGTAATCGGTTTTGGACACTCCGGAGGCATTTTCAAATCTTATTTTAGCTATGAATAAGTACATATTATGATAGAACTGTGAACTTCTTGACATTAGGGTATTGGTATGGGAATACTCTTTTTCCTATCCCCCACCCCCTTCTATATATATGAAAAGAAAAAAGACCGAGATTGCAATACTTGAGTACTATGTGCATACACTTTTTATGACCTCTGTGTCTCATAAATTATTTAGTTATTACATCATTTTCCCAATTCCTTTTTGGGTATTATACTCTTTTCTTTACTCTCCACTGGATGGAGAAAATTCTGCAATTATATTTCAGCCCAATATGTATTATTTTAGCTTTGCTACATTTCATTCTCCAGATGCTCAGGTTTTTCTTGTGGAATTGATGCTCCTCCTCAGTAATGGTTTTATTTATAGTTTTTTTTTTTAGACTTGTCTGATCTGGCGTGTGTGTGTGTGTGTGTGTATATATATATATCCAGTTCAACTTTGAACTTGAGACAACTTAAGGAGTCCATGGGCTATCATAACTTCTGTTTTAATGGTCCGAACTGTTCATTTTGTAATGCTCTCAGGCCATGTTTGTTTAGATGGATTGGATTAGATTGGATTAGCATTCAGTTATGCTAGTTCTCTTTATAACACGTGAGCATGACTGAAGCTACAGCCCTATCTGTTTTGACTTTAGCTGCTCTGGTTGCGGTTGGTACTGTAGCCTTGTTGTGTTGACCTGGCCTGGTCTTGCTGCAGCTGGGGTTGCAGTGGCTAGCTCTGGTTTATGCTCTATTTTGATATAATGTGTACCTGTCACATTTACATGTAGCTCGATTTGTTATTATACTTAATATAATAATTACTGAGAAATATATCATGCATCCATAATCATGTCATATCATCATTGTAAATTTTTTTTCCTACTCAGCACATCAAGTTAATATGTATATAATTTGGGTAAAAATAAAGTGGGTGGTGGATTCTCATCATTCATTGTGTACATGCCAACAGGTACAAAATTATAATGGATGATTCATGTTTTTCTACTTCAAAATCTTCATTGACAGTGTGCCACAGTGTAATTTTGTTTCCTTTTCCTGCCCCTTTAGCAGCCCAATGCTGTTATAACTTTAATATTCGGATCCATCATGATTTTTCTTGACTTTTTATGCTATTATAATTTTATGTCTATAGTTGTTAACTGAGTATTTTAGATGTGGTTTCACTAATAGATAGCTTTTGTTAGAAAATTGAGTATCTTATCTTATCTATTTCACTAATTGATTTGTGTGTCTTTCTCTTTGTAGCTAGCAGAAGCAGCAAAAGCATAATTTTCACGTGATTACAGTGATAACCTTGCTCTTGTCCGGGCTTATGAGGCCTGGAAAGAAGCTGAAAGAGACGTAGCTGGATATGAATACTGTTGGAAGAATTTTCTTTTTGCTCAATCAATGAAAACTATTGATGCTCTGTGAAGGGAGTTCTACTCTTTACTTAAGGAATATGTTTTAAATTTTAATGCTAAGTGGATGTGAATTGGATGATTATATAGATTACAAGTGGATTTTTAATTGAACGAATATGTAGTTTGGAATTACTTGTGGATGAAAATTTATAATAGTTGTTGACTTTAATTAAAGAGGTTCAGAGTTTGATGATTTATATAGTTTGTTGAATGTTCATGATTCAGGTGAATTGTTAGTTTGATTGATTATTGTAAATTACAGATTGTATTGAATAGATTGGATAGATTATTATGAATTACAGGTTTATTTTATTGCATGTTGGCGCAAACATTCTTTTTGACGACCAAACTTTTTGGTCTTAGAATGTCACAATTAGCGACCAAAATTTTTGATCGTGGAATGTTACAATTGGCAACCAAACTTTTTAGTCGTGGAATGTGATAATTGGCGACCAAACCTTTTGGTCGTGGAATGTGACAATTGGTGACCAAACTTTTTGGTCGTGGAATGTGATAATTGGTGACAAAATTTTTTGGTCGTGGAATGTGGCAATTGGTGACTAACATGTTTGGTTGGGAATATGTCACTTTTCGCGACTAAAGTGTTTTAGCAACTAAATAGATTAGTCGCAGTAATGATATATTTAGCGATAAAAAATTTAGTCTGCAAATTTAACTTTTTCCCGACTAACAAAAGTTTTGGTCGCTAATTACTTTTGTCGACCCTCAATTGGCGACCAAAAAAATTGGTTGCGAATAGCTTTTGCCGACAAAAAATTGACTTTTGCTGACCAAATTTTTAGTCGCCAAAAATGCAATTTCTTGTAGTGAATATTGCCGACCAATATTTTTGGTCGTGGAATGTATTGCCGACCAAATTTTTTGATCGCAGAATGTGACAATTGGCGACCAAATTTGTTGGTCGTGGAAATGGGCGACAATTGCTGACCAAACTATTTGGTCGTTGAATGTGCGAATTGGCGACTAACATATTTGGTCGGAAAAATATGACTTTTCGCGACTAAAGTGTTTTAGCTACTAAATAGATTAGTCGCAGTAATTATATATTTAGCGACTAAAAATTTAGTTGGCAAATATGACTTTATTGCGACTAATAGTTGCTAATTACTTTCCGCGACCCTCAATTGGTGACCAAAGTGGCGACTAAAAAAATTAATCGTGGATAACTTTTGCCGACTAAAAATAAACTTTTGCCGACCAAATTTTTAGTTGGCAAAAGTGTAAATTCTTGTAGCGGGTGCAGATGATTAGCTTTTAAAAGTTTATAATCTCAAAATTTATATCTAATTTTGTTTTTATTTTTTTATTTTTCACTTGTTACACTATGCCACAAATTTGTCTCCTTACACAAATTTACCCGTTTCTTTTCAATTTTTTTATTTTATTTGTGGAGAAATTACAAAAGATTTGAGTTTTGCAATAAAATAAATTCTGAATTTTTAATTTTGTTAATTTACACTATATTTTTTTTTTCAATTTAAATTATTCACTTATTTTTGTTAAATAAACCGATATAAAAATAATATTTTAGCCATTAAACTTAATGTGAATATACATAAAATGTTTAAAATATTATTTGTTGTTAAGTTTAAAAATTAAAATACCATTTTTTCATTGGTTTTATTTAACCAAAATAGACCGATAATTTAAATTGAAAACAAATAAAAATTAAAGTTTTAATTAATAAAATTAAAGATTCAAGATTTATTTTTAAATAGAGTTTTGAAAAGAATTTGGTTATAAATTTTAAATTAAGTTTTGAGTTGTGTGCTTGATTATGAGTTTTAAAAAATAAATTTTGAATTGAGTTTTCAGTTGTGTGCTTGGTTATGAATTTTGAATTTTTTTTATTAGAATCACAATTTAAAAAGAGAACCAAACACAACCTAAGTTTTTTTTTTTTTTTGTAATTTCTTCTTTTCTTTTTTATTATTTTTATTTTTAATAAGCAATCAATTGGACAATACCGTAAATACTCTGCTAGTTCTCTTTAAATTTGGAAAATTATAATATACACCCTTAAATTGAGCGTGTCATATATACTTTTCATTATGTTACGTTTTTTTAATTATGATAATTTTTTTTTATAATTATGATGCAAACATCATTTTATTTAGGAAGAACTACAGCCAAATAAGAGTAAAAAAAAAGGGAGATGCACCAATAAATCCCAAATTAATAACTTATGCACTGTTTAGTCCTAAAAGTTTTCTTATAGACTGAAAGGTCCCATTACAATGTTAATAACATCAGATACAATGTTAATAACATCATAGTCATGTTACAAACATTGGATTTCAAACATCTAATGTTCATCAAATTTCAATAATGTTTGAAAATATAGGATGAAAAATATTTAATGTTCATCAGATTTCAATAAATTTTGAAATTATAAAATGAAACATCAGATCATTTACATCATTCACATCATGTTGATGTAAAAATGGGACTAAATGGAGCATAAGAAAACTTTTAGGACTAAATGGTTCAACGTTTCAAAAACTAGAATTTATGGGTAAATTTTCCTAAAAAAAAAAATAATCAACACATATAGTCTTTTATTTGGGTAAGGATACTCTAGAGTTTTTTTTTTTAAATTTTTTTAAAATGATACATTATGTAATTAAGATTTAATGACAACTCATATTAATTTTTTAATATTAAATCACAACCACACAACGTACTATCTTAAAAAACTTTAAGAAAAAAAAGGGTCTAAAAAATCCTTGGTGCTTTTATTTACATCTCACCTCACCACAGACACACTTACATTTTTTATTTATTTTTAGAAGACACACTTGCACAGGTGGACGGGGGTGTGTGTTTACCAATTCTAGGGTTTTGTGTTGGTGGGTTTTAGAGTTTGAGAAGCACGAAGACTAGACAAACAATTCGTTAGCTTCTTGCGATTTCTCTGGTAAGCTTTTAAGGGTTCTTCACAATCCATCCTCATTTTTCAGTGTTCCTTTTTGTTATCCTCTGTTTGGCTTTTGAGAAAATTATAGGGATAAATATTTGTTATTTGTTTTGTTTTTGTTTCAATTGGTGTTGTTTAGTTACCCTATTATCAGTTTTTCAATATTGACACCTTGTTCTTGTAAATTTCCCCACATTTTCTTTTTACTTAGTCTCTGCATCAATGGTCTTTGGCAAATCCTCATTGTGTGGCTCTTTATTCTTTAACCATTGGTTTGGATTCTTTTGTATTGGTGTGATCATTTATCATGTTACTGTTGAATTTTTACTTTATGTATGTTCTATGGTATAAACAGCTGAACAGTTGGACACAATGTATCTTCAATTCTACATAAATGACAACGGTAACAAAGTTTACACCACTAAGGTATGCAATCTTGGGTCATTCATTCTTGTAGTTTTTTTTTCCTGTTAGATGATGTTATATATATAATTTACCATATCAGTATTGGAGTTCCAAACAAATCAATACAATATTGTTACATGTTGATTTTGATGATACGCTAGTTCTTTAATCTGCTTCTTGTTGGTTGTTGATTTAACCATGTTTCAAACATTAAAGAATCTGATAGAGTTGGGCCCATCATTATGCTGATTGATCTTTTGAGAGTTATATGTATCTCGAAACCAAGATTGTTAAAATGCGAAACAGTTACTAAAAAAATATGTAAACTCAGACTACATGGTTTTTTAAATTCATGGAACTTGATATTTCTATTATTTTTCATTTTGTTTTATCCCTTTGGTGTTATATGATTTGAGATTTTGCATCAGATTTCTTCTCTGTTGATGTGTTCAGAATGCCAGTGAACATTTGTGACCCTCAAGTTTATGGGTGACGCACTAACACTTATTTATGAGTTATTTCAGGCCTGACGGTGCTGCTACTATCTGAGCCTAATTGGTGCTAGTAATCCTAAGTGTTGAGAAAAAGCCTTTGAAGTTTTTTTTTTTTATGGCATGTCCATAAGCTATGAAGCATGGGTACTTCGAAAAACATGCCGTACCCGTACTGGGTACTTACCGGCGTATGGTACCTCGTATGGTTACTTCTGCATACGTACGGGATACACGAAACACGTACCCAATTTTTTTCTTCTTAATTTTTGGCGTACCTAGACGTACCTACTATATACCAAGCCGTACCGTACCTCAGTTGAAATAATATTTTCTTCTACTACAGAAATAAAACTCATTTCAATAGACTTTTTTTTTTATTTTTAGTTTTATACTTAGCATATTTTTAAAATGAAACTGTGGTTTGTAAGTTATTTTAATATATTGACATTTAATTTTGATTTTTATCTTTACTTTTGGCATTAAATGTTAATTTTAGGTTGAATCTTAACAAATCAAACCATTTAATTAATTTTTGTATTACTGTAAATTAAAAATAAATATTTTTTTACAAGCGTACCAAGCCGTACCCGTACCCTACTTTTTTTGAATTTTATCGTATCGACGTACCCGTATCGTACCAGTACCAGTACTCGTACCCGGACCTGTGCTTCGTAGTCCATAAGAGTAGCTTTTGTAATATATTCATTTGTACCAGAGCTGCTTGATGCATCTGCCATTGTGGTTGTCGTAGTTGACATTTGTACGTGAGTTGCGTGACCATTGTAAATGAAAAAAAAAAAAAATGATTATTAAAAAAAAGCGCGTTTTTCTTAAGTCTGGAGCCTACTAAAAGGGTAAGCCTAGGGGTTTGTGTGGGCTTGATTGCAGGGGCTTGGCTTGGCATAGAGCAAGGCGCTTCTGGTGCTTGTTTGGGGCCTAGGTGCACCTTTAATTGCTATGGTCCTACCCTAGCACAATTATATACTGGGCTAGAAACATATTGTCAAGTCACTAATTGTATCGTGAATTGTACGATATACTTTATTTAACATAATATATAATTTTATATATCTATATAGATATAAAAATAGGCACATAGTATTAAAAAAAGGAATAAATATCGAATAGAATTAAATTATATGTATATATACACATGTAAGGGGTGTGCGTGGTGCGGGTCAGTGCGGTTTGAGAGAAAAATAGAAACCGTATGGCGGGGGGGGGGGTGGTAAAAGTGTCACTAGAATTTGTCATTTTCCTTATATTCGGTTGGCAAATAATGGAGGATTTGCCTTGGCGGTTCGGGCGGATTGGCGGTTTATAAAAAATATAATTCAAATTACAAAACTTAAATCAAAGAGTAAAAAAAAGACGAGAGATACCGTGATGTTAAGCATCTTGCGAAGCTTTCTTCTGATGCAGCAAGTGTAGCAACATGGCCAGAAAAAAAAAAGATTGAAAAGTGAATTGGAATCCAACTTTATTTTGGATTACTGACATCTTGAATTCCCCTCGAGCAGTAATGTAATACTATATTCTAAGGTATAGAACAACAAGCAAACTTAAGTAAAAAAGAATTTTTAGAATCTTATAAAATATGATTTAATAGCGGTGTAGGTCGGTGCGGTTTGGAAGAAAAATAGAAACCGGCAGATTGATAAAAATGTCACTAGAATTTGCCATTTTTCTTACCAAAAATCGGCGGTTCGATTGGCAAATAATAACGAATTTGTCTTGGCGGTGCGGTTCGGTGCGGTTTTGGCGGTATTTTGCACACCCCTATGTAAAACTATGTATATCAATATATATAATTAATTAATTTCTTTTTTATTTTACGATTACGAAGATGATCTAGTTTCATACATAATGCAAACAAAACTAAATCCTTGTGAATCACAATGAAATGTACTAAATTGCAATTGAATCAAATGATTCACTCAATTTAAGATTTAACAACACAATTCGAATTGTTTTGGTTGAAACTCGTGTTGAATCGTATTCATCGAGTTGCGATTCCTAAGATTCTAACAAACACGATAAAACCACGTTGGCAGCTTTTTTAACAACTTGTTTAAAGATGATTTATTGCTATTTTCTGTTAATGGTAGATGCCTCTAATAGAAGTTTAACAATTGTAAAAAAATTGTGCATAGCAACTCAGGTACTTTAAGATGCCAGAATACATTAAACATGTTTATGTTTATTTTGGGTAAAAAGCAAAAATAAAAAACATGTTTGGTACAAAAGTATTTTAAAATTTTGTTTTGAAAACAAATGAAAGGGGTTGTCAATGGTGGTTGGCGGTCGTGGGAGGTAGTGGTCAAAGGTGGTTGCCACTGTGGGAGGTGGTTGGCGGTGGCCAAAAGTGGTTGTTGATGGTTGTAGATGGTGCCCATTCAATGACTGAAGGTGGTTTTCAACAACAGAAAGAGGCCGAAGGTGAGTTACCATTGGTGGGAGCTGGTTGGCAACGGTGGCAGGTAGTTGGCAGTTGAGGGAGGTGGTGGCTAGAGTTGGTTGGCAATGGAGGTCATTGGCAATGGTGGTCAGTAGTGATGATCAGCAATGGATGGTGGTCGTAAAAGGTGGGAGAAAGAGGAAGAAATGAAAAAATAAAAAATAAACAGGGGAAACCAACTTTTATTTTGGTAGTAATTTTATAAATTGTTTGTAACTTTTTGAAAACGAAAATAGAAATCAAATAGTTTTTGCTCACAGTTTTAAAAAATCCTGTAAATATAAACAGAGCATTATAATATAAACATTACCAAACTGACCTAAGCTTTTTAATTTTTTCTTATTTTTCGTTCGATAAAGGTCTGCTTAATGTATATAAGCTAGCATGTGATGATGGGGTTTGCATTTGCATTAGTGATGGAGCCTGAAACTTAAGGTTGGTTTGTATAGATGTGGATTTCAAATCAAGTGATTTGATCTCCATCATTCAATGACAATTACTCAAATTTAGATATAATAGTTTATTTATGAATTTCAAGATTGAGTTTAATAGCTTAATCTTGATGGATTTGAAATAACAATATAAAATAGTTATTTGAAATCATGCTATGAATTTTTTTTCTAACTATAAAGATCCTACTAAAATGTATATATATTTTGTCTCAACTTATCTTATCCATTGTTTTTCTATCTATTTAACCTCAAATCCCTTGATATGAAATTCATGATTATCCAAACGGACCCTTATGCCGTGTTTGGTTCATGGATTTGAGTAGAGATTTAGAAAGAAAAAGGGAAAAGGTGGGTGAATTGTGAATGAAATATAAATATATTTCATGCACCTTTCACACATTTTTTCCCTTTAACTTTTTAAATTGCTATCCAAATCTATGAACTAAACACAACCTTAGTGTCTAGATTTTGATATTTGGAGAGGGTAATCAAATAACTTCATGCTTGTTAGAACACAATTCACTGCTGGGGCTGGAACACAATTTTCTGCTGGTTTATTTTATTTCTCAATATTGATTTGTTCAACTCGTAGATTTAATCTGATCGTGAAAATGGAGTGCCAGGTTTATTGGCATCACAAAAGCTTGGTTTTTCTGTTGTTGTGTTTATGTTTGTTATCTTGACTTTCTTGTACTTGTGGAAATTTTAATAATTTCCGTCAATATTTTTTTAAAAGCACTTTTTTCATAGCATTTGCATCTTCTCTGAATATTTGGAAGGTATTGTTATGTTGTGTTTGGTTGGGGGATTTGGGAAGAGATTTGGAAAGAGAAAGGGAAAGGGAAAAGGTGTGTGAAACTAGGTGAAATGTATAGGTATATTTTATTCATATTTCACCTATTTTTTTCATTTCCCTTTCCAAATCCATCCTCAAATCTCCCGACCAAACACAACATTAGTTATTTTTTTATGGTGTATTTCAATGATAAAAGAGTTAATCTTTGTGGTGTATGGCAATGCCAACTTTTATCCTATGTTACTTTCTTTTTAAATTAATCTTACACACATTTGTCCTGCATTTTTTATGTTTTGGTTGGTTTCATCTTTGTGTTATGTTTAGTATTGACCTTGGATTTGCTTTTCTGTATGTAGAAAGAATCACCACTTGGATTGGCTACAGAATCTGCTCATCCAGGTACTGTTCTCTATTGTTTGTGAGTTTAGAAGTCTACTTCTGGTATGTTCTGAAATTGAATTTGTGCGAGCATTTCAAAAAGGAAGATGAGTTTCTGACTTTCTTCATTCTTTTGTTTGCGAGTTTAGTATTCTGCTTCTGGTGTGCTCTGAAATTGAATTTGTGTGAGCATTTCAAAGAGGAAGATGAGTTTCTGAATCATTCCTTTGAATAGAATTTTGGATGAAGTATTCACAATAAATCATGCATTGTTTTGTTTTTGTGTTATACCCATGCATGATGACTGAACTAAACAAGATGCCTAGGTGATGTTTTGGGGAATTGAAATAACTGACTAGCAGCTGCATCCAGCTCAACTGGTTTGAAAGTTTTGTAGTTTGGTTTCTCCATTGAAAGTAAAACAGTCCAAAGTCGAGCCCGAAAAGCACAGGCTTTCTTAAAGTTTTCTAACCAATGTGTTTTCTCCATTGAAAGTAAAAATTAAAAAAAACACTGATTAATGGAGATGAATTTGATATGTATTCCCTTTTCCTGTTCACAATCAAAGAGTTAGTGATTTTTTTTCTTGGAAATCTCTTTTGTATGCTTAAATCTTTTATTTTGTTTGGAAGCCATAATTGTAGTTTTAATTAAAGGAGATCTTGTGAAACTTTGGCTGGGCAGCTTTCTATTTCATTTCTTTGGAATTGGCATCTCTCTGTCAGAATGTGGCACTGGGCTGTTTTGGGGTTGCAAGCCTGTGGTAAACTTGACTATGTACAAGTAGGTTATTTTTCTAGTAAAAAGGCAAGAGTCATCAAAATCAGGGCTTTGCATCAAGCCCTATATGATGGATATGGTGCTTGTTCCCCCCAATAACCACCCCCTTCCCTCTTCTCTCTCCTCTCCCCTTGTTTTCTCTGCTCATATATGTGTCTGTATGTATGTGTATTTCGATGCGACTTGGTGATATATTGGAGCAGTACACCATCAAAGAATATAATGCAAGCCTATACAGTTTTTCCTATAATTAATCCTTTGTTTTTTTGGTCAACTGTAGCTCGCTTCTCTCCTGATGACAAATATTCCAGGCAAAGAGTCCTTCTAAAGAAACGCTTTGGATTACTGCCAACCCAAAAGCCACCTCCAAAGTATTGAGAACTTCACAGCCTTGTTTTGGATCCCTTTTTACTTTTTATGTAGCTTCTGCTCAAATTGATAACAGTATGGGTGTGCATGACAGTAGTCCATCAGTAAATCTTGGGATGAACTTGAACTATATATGAGAGACACTTTTGGTTGGATAGATATGTTGCATGTTGTCAATGATTTGATTTATGTCTGGATTGAGCTTTGTAAAAACATCTGTCTGCTATTATGGTTGGGAAGAAAGTAATCTTTTCAAGAATGACAAAAGAAATGTATAGTTTGTGCATAAAGATTGAAGCATCATTATGCTAATCTATAGTTTGTGCATAAAGATTGTAGCATCATTTCAGAGAGAGCTGGCGCTTTTGATATTTGAAGCACCAGCGAATTTTGAGTTGCCTGGGAGTGTGATTTGATGGCCCTAGGGTTTGATTTAGTGGATATCTAGGGTTTCAGGAGGGATTGGAGTGTCACAATGGAGGCAGGGGAGGTTTGGGATAAGCATAATGGTGCAGGAGTTGGTGAGGGATTGGGGTGGCGGGGAGAGATTCGGTGGTGGGGGAAGGGGTTGGTGATGGCTAGAGGGGGGCAAGTGGCTGGTAGCTTGGGAGAGAGAGGGAAAAGAGAAAAGAGATGCATTTTTGTAAATTCTAGGATAAATTCCACCATGTTATTATTTTTTTTCTTCTTAACATTTACTTTGCTCAATTTTTTTTATTTTTTTTAAATCTTCCAGAAAAAAACCTCTGCAGATTACTTAGGCTAAAAATTGTAATTTAAGGGCTATATATGGCTATTACCCTAACTGAGGTCTCGTTTGACAAGTAATTTTTTTAGTCAAAAAATCATGAAGTCATTAAAAAAAATTAAAAAGCCAATAACCTATATCAAAAGTTAAAAAAAAAAATTTCTCTCTACTTTTTGCATATCTTTTCAAAAAAAATCAAAAAGTTATTTTAAGTATATTAATTTTTTTTACGTCATATTTTAGTCAAAAAATTAAAAAATTATTAAAAAAACATATTCGCCAATAAGGCTTAACAAATAGAACAGGAAGTTCTGAGCCGGCCGTAACATTGTTGTATCTCATGATTATTTTAGTTTTAAATTGTAAATAATATTTTGTTACCTTTTAAATGCTTTATTATATTTTAGAGAAAATTAGTGATAAATTCAATTTGAAGGGTGTTTACAGCATTAGATTCAGTGAGTATTTTTTATTAGCGATAGATCTATCTTTTATGAAATAGTTTGGTGAAAAATCCTTTTTTATTGTTTTGAAAGACATTTTGTTTCTAATTTTATTCCTTAGTTTATCTGTTGACTTTCGTTAACTATCTGTTCAATTTTTTTTATCTGTTCAAAAATATTTAAATTTTTTTCTATCTGTTCATTTTTTCTTATCTGTTTAAAATTTTACCCTATCTGTTTAATTTTTTAATCTTTTCAATTCAAATTTCTGTTATCTATTTAAATATTTATTCAAATAAAATTCTATCTATCTAATCTTTTGCCTATCTATTCAATTTTTCCCTAATCTGTTCAATTTGTTTTATCTTTTCAATTCAAATTTTGTTCCTATCTTTCAGACCAACTCTATTTGATTTCAAAATCTTTTCTATTTGTTGAAATTTTGTATCTACCTATTGCAATTACTAGAGAGATGAAAGAGTTATTTGTTGCAATATCAAGCCAAACCAAACATATTTGTTAAAAATTTATTATTTTTCTATCTGTTCAAATATCTCTGTATCCCATCTGTTCAACACAACACAAGAACAAGAAAATCAACATCATCAACAACAACAACATCATCAAAATCAACATCAACGACCAAAATAACTACAATTACACATAAACATACAAAACAGATCAACTACAAAAAAAAAAAAAATCTGGAGACAGACAGAGACACACATACACATACATGTATACTTACACACATACATGAGATCTAGGTGTGTATCATCAATATAGATATAAGATATGTGTATCATTAAACAGATTTGAAATCTGTGTATCCGAATGTGTATTAGAGAGAGAGAGAGATCTGAGGAAAGAGATTATGCGGTATGTTGGCGGCGATGGACGACGGATGAGGACAACGTGAGGTGTGAGAGAGAGTGAATCGACGCTGGCAACGTCTATAACTTCTGTTCACGTTTGTTCAAATCTGTTGTGGCGGAAGGAACTGAAGTCGAAGTATGGAGGTTCAACAACTCTAGCATCGCGGCAGTAGTGGTGGCTTGGAGGATGAGACGACGATGATTGCGTTGCTGCGAAGAGAAGAGAGAGAGAGATTAAGAGATAGAGAAATGAATGTGATTGGTTAGGGTTGGAGGTATATATGATATATACAAGAAAGGGTATTTTGGTTATTTTGATTGAGCTTGTCCTTTTGGACAAAGTGATTCAGAGCCTGGACTTGTAAACAAACAAAATTGAAATTTGGACTTTTGAACCAAGTACCCTATATTATACTATTGAGGTTAAAGAGTTTCTATGTCTACCCATTTGGGAATTAATTAATGAAATTAACAAATTCTATTTTAATGTTATATCCATTGAATTTAGGCTCACTTGAATTGTCTAAATTTGTGCATATCGGTTGTCTGAGTAGCCATCTGGGAGGTCGTTTGGCTAGTTAGCCGAGAGGATGCCGATTGATATACAGGTTGACAAGAGTAACAGTCGCAGTTGATAAAGGTGATAACCATGGTTGACAAGAGTGCCACCGGTCATTCAGCTGGTCATCTGATTTACTTAATTCGAGCAATTCAAGTGAGTTCAAATTCGGTGGACCAATCATTTTTCTTTTATCATACTCAAAACAAAAGCAGTTTAGATATAGATACAGTACATAAGAATTTTATACTATTTTTATTTGAGTTTGGGACGATCAAATGAATTATGACATGTCCACATTTTGAGTGCATGCTTGTGGGGAAGTGACAGTTGTCTTGGTAAGTGTAGAATGTCGTCTATGAAGCATGGGTACTTCGAAAAACATATCGTACCCGTACCAAGTACTTACCAGTGTATGGTATTTCTGCATACGTATCGGGTACATGAAATACGTACCAAAATTTTTTCTTCTTAATTTTTGACGTACGTAGACATACTAGTATATACTGAAGTCGTACTGTACCTCAGTTGAAACAATATTTTCTTCTACAGTAGAGATAAAACTCATTTCACTAGACTTCTTTTTTATTTTTAGTTTTATGCTTAGCATGATTTTAAAATTAAACTATGATTTGTAAATTATTTAATATATTGACATTTAATTTTGATTTATACCTTTACTTTTGGCATTAAATGTTAATTATAGGTTAGATCCTAACAAATTAAACCATTTAATTAATTTTTACGTTACTCTAAATTAAAAATAAATATTTTTTTACAAACGTACTAAGCCATACTCGTACCTCACTTTTTTTAGACTTTACCATATCGATGTACCCGTATCGTACTAGTACTCGTACCTGTACCCGTACTTCATAGAATGTCGTTAACAATTAAATTTCGATAAGTTTTATTTTTTATTTTTTTATATAATTTAATATTGCTTTATCATTTACAATTGTTATGAATTTGCATCTGTTTTATATTTAAATATAATGTTCTATCCCTTAAAAATTGTCAACAATCTAGGGACCACATAAAACAAATAAATTGTAGGAAAGGGTAATTGTCCATGGACATTCACATCATCACATGTGGGAATGTTCCTTATTTTGATTGTGCTTTAAGAGCAACCCAAACCCATATTGCCTTCAACGTAAAGCACTACTTCATTCACCGAAGTTTTATTTTATCCCTATTTGATTTCCATATATTTGGCATTTAACTTTTCATTTCACATAGAGACATTCGGCGCCTAAATTTGAGTAACCCAACTAAAATAACTACTCTAACGGTCAATTCTTTCCATAAACACTCACACTTAAGTCCTCTTCATGCTAACACATATGGCAGGTCCCAAAGCAAAGGGTTCCAATCACACACTTGGATTTAAAAACTTGATGTTCGGCTGAGAAAAGATGGAACATCAAGACATAACACTCCTAGAACAGCTTCACTAGGGTTAGGTTTATTGGCTTCTATCTATTCCAGTTCAATTTTCTATATATTTACTTCTCATATCAAAGCTTTAGTGATCACAATGTCCTTTATGGGTTTTGCTTTGCAGGCATATCTCAAGCTCTAGCGGCATCACCTGTTCGATCAATACGGTAATACATGTTTCTTTCCCTTATGATCTTCTATCTTTTGGGACTTTTCTAGTGTGCGTTTTACATCCAGCTAAAAAAGTCACATTTCCTTTCACTGTTTTTTTTTTAAAAAATTTGTGTCAAATATTTTTTTTATTTTTTCTGTCCATCTAGTGTAGAAGAACCTAAAAAGTAAAAAAAAAAAATCAAAAATCAAAAATCAAAAAAAAGTTCGCCAAAAAAATATATATATATTTCGGCTTTTTTTTCGTGGACTTTTTTTCCAAATTTTTAAATTTCTTAAAACACACTTTTTAAAAACGTAAAAAAAAAGTTTACTTAAAAAAAAAGGCCAATAAAGAAGCCAAACTCAGACAAGCAACTACTATGATAATTCTAGTAATTTGTACTTTTAGTAATTTAACAAATTAAACATGCATAGTGAAATTCATTATTTGAAACCGCAAGGCCTACACAGTGGTCATGTCAGCTGCTGCTGAGGAGGAGTTGAAGATTCGTTGCGAACTTGAGATGGAAGTGGAAAGAGATTTAGAGGCAGAGATTAAGGATGGGATCTACCATCTTGCTCTACGCTTGCACCGGCTCTATCAACACCAAAAGGAAAGGAATCAAGAAAGAATGAATAACAAAACACTTTATGCTGAGGTGAACATAAACATTAGACTGGAAGGAGGAACCAAGATTGAGATTAAAGAGATAAAGAAAGGTATTGTTGCTCGCGAACATGGCCAACCTCTTGCTCCAATTAGATCAGAAAATATGCAAGGTGTAATGAGAGGTTCCAATGCCAAGAATTTCGACTGGGCAAAGAGTCTTCGATCAGAAGCACGTCGCCCTCTGGCAATTAACAAGAAAAATGACAGTCTCTCTAATCATGCTAAAGTGATTAGCTCTGAGCATGGTGATAGCCTTCCTCTTCCTCATCAAAATCATAAACTTGATCATACTAGAAGAAAGTGGACTAGTGCCTCTGGGTCTGGGCAGCAAAAGCGTGGCATGAGGGTTGAGAACAAGTTACTTGAACTAGGATGGAAATGTTGACACCCATTTAATTTGGTTTGTTGCTATAATTTGGGTTTTTTTACTGTCATATAGAAACAAAATTTTTATTAGATTTTTCTGTCACTGGATACAAAGTATAACTCCCATATATATTTATTAATGTGGGTTTTATTATTGTTGTATCTATTGATAAAAAAATCTAATGAGAAACCTATATATATATATATAGCATTACTCCAATAATTAACTGGGTTAATAATGGTGTTTGGGTGATAATAAGCCACATAGGCATTCAAATGTTGCACTGATCTATTACTATTTGTTTGTAAATTGTTATGAATGATTGGTTTTAATGAAATGATTGTGTAATTTTTTCCTTCTCTCCTAGATTTCCATAGTAAGTTTATACACAATTTCAAATTTTGTAGGAATGTTTCTTGTCTCTATACTTTTAATTTAGGATAAATTATAACTTAACCCCCTGTGGTTTATCCAAAAAACACAGAGTTACCCTATAGTTTCATTTATAACACTTAAACCCCTATACTTCATACCAAAGTGTAATTTTAGACGGACGTAACAAAAATTATAAAAAATCTAAATTACCCTTATTTATTTCTCTAATTTTCTTCTTAGAATAATACTTGGGACCCCCTTTTGGGGGTCACCCCCTCACTCCCTTTGCCACGTGGCGGGTGGTGATTGGAGGAGCAGGAAAAAAAAGAAAAAGAAAAAGAAAATGTAACCAATGAGAGAGAGAGAGGGGGTCAAAGGGGGTGGGGAGAAAAGGGGGGATGAATCATTGTTGTTCTTCTTAATGCCATTATAAACCACCAGTCAACAAACTGAATCTATCATTGATAAGTTAACATGTAGACACCTGAGAAGAAGGATAAATGGTGAACCCAAGCTTTGACCTCTCTCTCTCTCTCTCTATATATATATATATATATCTTCTCTTTCACCCTGACCACCATCATCACCACCATTGCCTAGTTTTGTCAAAACCAAGAACCACCCTTTACAAAATGCTATAGATGAAGCAACAGAAGAGAGTGGATGATGAAAAAGAAAGAAATAGATTTGGAGATGTTTCTTTGAAATGTGTGATGTTAGTTTTCGGACAACTTTCGATATGCCGAAACCACCAATTTCAGGAAGAAGTGAGAAAACGAGGTAGCATAGGATGAAGTATAAAGCAAGGTGAGGAGATTGGTGAAAGAACGGGATAAAACCGTTAAGAATCGCGAAAGTTATGGAGTCCAACAGATGTGCCGAAGAAATGTCGGAAACGGGAAGAAAAAGTGGGTTTGGTGGAGAACATGCTACTGTAACTATGAACTCTTATTTTGACGGAGGTATGATGGAACAACCATTTGCAGACAATCATGCTGAGGATATGGGTCATGAAGATTTAAATGCTTTCTTCAGCTTTCCCATGGACTGTGAACTACACAAGGCACTTGGACCTTGTTTCCTGGGACAGGCAAATGAATATTTGTGGGACTCATCTCTCACGGGTGAGGATGCATGCAACAGCTCAAGACAGATCTTCAATAGAGATCCCATCCATGGTATTGGGCCATCAACCTTGGAATCCAGTGGATGTTTTGCCAAAAGAGATGGTGCAGAACGTCATTTGGAAGCTGTGGTTTCCAGTATGCATAATGGTTTGAATGATAATTTGTTCAACAAACCCAACGATGTGGATGTTGATGTCGATGTCAAGTTTTCCCTTGCATCATCATCCTCGGGACAATTTGCTACATCCACCAAAGCACAAAGTCAACCTGAAGAAAGTGCATTTGTGGAGGAGAAAAAAGTTCCATGGAGCTCTGTGACAACTGCATTGGGTGCTAGAGGCCTAAATGCTGTTACTAAATCACCTCCAGCTTCTTCATCTGAGAGCATGCTGACCATATTGACTGGGGGAGAGCAGAAACCGAAGAAAGGGTGTGGGTACTTGCAGACTAGGAAAGGGTCAAAACCCTCCAATGCTAGCAAAAGAAGTTGGCTGTGGATAATTTTTATAGAGAGAAGTTGAGGTAAATGAAACCCATGCTCAAATATTGCATAAGGGTGTTTTGGTCATTTGCTATATGTTTCTGGGCGGGAAAAACTGTTTCACTCACCATTCATGGTCGTGCAGCACACGTTCTGTTTAAATAAACAGTTCTGTCGAAAATTACACTTTAGTATGAAGTATAGGGGGTTTAAGTGTTACAAATGAAACTATAGAGAGGTTTCGTATTTTTTAGGCAAACCACAAGAGGTTAAATTATAATTTACCCTTTAATTTATTACATATCACTTCCAAACACAAGTGATTGGATTTTATTGTGCATTTATTAATGTGAGTCATATTGTTTTGTGTAAGAAAACGAAATAAGAAATGGAATTATATATAACATTAGTCTTATTTATTATGTGGCACAATGTTTCTGTAGGTCATTTATTCAGTTTATTCATTAAAATTTATTGTTGATTTTTGGAAAAATTATAACCCAGTGTACTTTAAAAAAAATAATTACAGAATCATTGAAAAATTGTGATTTTAATTATTAATGTTGATAAAGTTTTTCACTAATTTGTAATTAAGTTTATAGAAATGCACTGATATGTAATATCCCCTTTTTTTTTCTTTTCTTTTTTTATCAGCTAAGGTTACAATTAATGCCACTACAACATATAAGGATTATAGGGATCAAATTGTTTTCATTCAAAAAGTGAAAATTTTGTTTCAAAAAATTAGAAGACAAGTTCTTGTCGTCATAAGAATTGTTACTAAAAGCTATCCCAAAAATTAAAAGAAAAAAGGAAAAATAAATAAATAAATAAATAAAGAAAACACTTAGCGATAAATTTTTTAAAATATCACTAATAACTGTAGGACAAATCAATTTTTAACTGCAAGACAAATAAATTTTGTGTAAAAATTTACTTTTTGAGATGAAAATTTTGGTCTTGGATAGTAATTCATAACTAAATATCTAATTTTGTTACTGAAACACTTTTGACAACTAAGATATTTTTTCTCTAAAAAATAATTTTATCCATAATTTTTTTTTCTTAAATTTTACTTTGTTGTGGTGTGCACTCGTAAAGGGATTATTAGCCATACTTTTTAATGATACCTACATTGTGACATATTATTCCATCATTAAGTCAATGTGCTTTATCAAGGTATTTTTGCCTTTAAAATTGCCCCTTTGTTGGCTGTAAAATTTCTCACTTAGATGGTAGCCCATTCTTGACTATAAAAAAAATCTTGAATGAAAAAATGAAAGTTCAAAAGCAAAAACATTGTAAAATAATTATTTCTTTGTTGTTATTTGTTTGTTCATTTTTTTTTTTATATTATTTCATAATAGATCAATTGGCATATTGAAATGAAATCACTCCATTAATCTACCGCAAAAATAATACTATTCAAATTTATCTCCCTTCCAAAAAAGAAAAGCACAAATTTAGCTCTAAATGCGTGGTGAATGATGATTGAGGAGTGCTCCAGCACGCCAAGATTAAGGGATTGTTTGGGATGACCTAAACAAGTATACTTTTTGTCTTTTTATGAAAAGATGTGCAGAAAAGTAGAGAGGTGATGTGATGAAAAAAAGATAAAAAGATGGATTATTTGGGACTTCCCAAACTTGACCTAAATATTATTCAAATTTGGTTGATAGCGATGTGCTCAAAATTGACTGCTTATTAAGCAAATCAACAATGATTCATCCCACTAAAAATATCACCACTAATAGCACTAATGCATTAAAAAAATAAAAAAATAATAAAAAAAATACAATTCCAAGACCAAAATATCACATCATTAATGGCAGGACCCACTGCCACCTAATTAGTGGGAGCACTAATTAGTGCTGCCAAGCATTTTTCTTAAGCAAATTGTGCATGGTTGATTAGACAATCATTGGTTCATTTTTGTCTCAATAATATTATAGAAAAACAATTATTACATACTTGGATAAAGGTATTGGATCAATAATAAATTAAAATTAGAAGATAAAGGCACTACATAAACGAAGTAACTATGAAAACTTTATTAGTAATGGACAATAATAGTTTACAAATTAGTAGGGGTGAGCAGCGGATATATCGATCCGTCAAAACCGATCGAACCGAACCGATCCGCCACATTCATAACTAAATATCTAATTTTGTTACTGAAACACTTTTGACAACTAAGATATTTCTTCTCTAAAAAATAATTTTATCCATAATTTTTTTTCTTAAATTTTAATTTGTTGTGGTGTGCACTCAAAAGGGATTATTAGCCATACTTTTTAATGATACCTACATTGTGACATATTATTCCATCATTTAAGTCAATGTGCTTTATCAAGGTATTTTTGCCTTTAAAATTGCCCCTTTGTAGGCTGTAAAATTTCTCACTTAGATAGTAGCCCATTCTTGACTATAAAAAAATTCTTGAATGAAAAAATGAAAATTCAAAAGCAAAAACATTGTAAAATAATTATTTCTTTGTTGTTGTTTGTTTGTTCATTTTTTTTTTAATATTATTTTATAATAGATCAATTGGCATATTGAAATGAAATCACTCCATTAATCTACTGCAAAAATAATACTTTTCAAATTTATCTCCCTTCCAAAAAAGAAAAGCACAAATTTAGCTCCAAATGCGTGGTGAATGATGATTGAGGAGTGCTCCAGCACGCCAAGACTAAGGGGTTGTTTGGAATGACCTAAATAAGTGTATTTTTGTCTTTTTACGAAAAATTGTGCAGAAAAAAAGAGAGGTGATGTGATGAAAAAAAGATAAAAAGATGAATTATTTGGGACTTCTCAAACTTGGCCTAAATATTATTCAAATTTGGTTGATAGCGATGTGCTCAAAATTGACTGCTTATTAAGCAAATTGTGCATGGTTGATTAGACAATCATTGGTTCATTTTTGTCTCAATAATATTATAGAAAAATAATTATTACATACTTGGATAAAGGTATTGGATCAATAATAAATTAAAATTAGAAGATAAAGGCACTACATAAACGAAGTAACTATGAAAACTTTATTAGTAATGAACAATAATAGTTTACAAATTAGGATAGTGTATAAACTACAACTATGCTAGGGGGAAAAAATGCATTGGAAGCTAGGGAATGTAAAAGATAAAGACTCTAGACCCAAAAAAATGTTTAAATGTAGAATTCATGTTTTGGTGTTGGACCGTATGCCATGTCTTTTTTTTCTCGTATTTATACTTACTATTGGCAGTTGTTCGTCCATACATTATCTTTAGAGTGGCATAATCATAATATATTAAAATTCTTTATTCAGTATTCAAAATAAGTAACAAATTTGTAATTTAGAATTTTAATCTATTTTTAAAAATTGCTTAAAATT